AAAGTCTGGTTCTCTGGAAGAGCAACAGTGCTATAAACTGCTGAGCCATCTTTCCAGGCCCAGGCAACACCATTTAAACAGCAGAAATAAAGCGATCTTCCTGTGATAGACAACATCAGTGTATCTTGAGATACTTTATAAAATCATTTGCAGATACTTCTTAAAATCTAAGGCTGTAGTAAATATATATTAGCAAATAAAAACTGATATGGAATTACAGAAAAATAAGGTTTTCCTTTCAGACAGGAAGATATCAGTGGTTGTTGGAAAAAGAAAAGAAAAAGCAGCAGAAATCTCCAAGATAAGCTTCAAGGGTGATTGCAAAACTTCTTTAACAAAAGGAGAGAAAAGAAGATGGGATGGTTGTATTGTTGAGAAATGATCCCACAATAGGTCTTCAAAGACTGAAACCCAGGTAAAGATAGTGAGTAAAGGATTCACTAGACAGTAAATGAGTTTCCTACTGCTGCTATAACAAACAAAAGCTCTCTCAATAGCTACACCACACTGGTTCTAGACTCTGCTCTGGCCAAAACCTGTGGGCCCTCAAGTTGCTTATATAAAAGACCAGAGAATTTCCATATGCCCTATATACTTCTTCCAGCATAATTTAACCTATTCTAGATTACTTAAAATACTACACTATATATTCTAAGGAAACAAACTGTATTGCTTAGGGAATATTAATAAGAAAAATGAGCTTAGCACAGACACATTTAAAAAAATAATTTCTCATCCAGCTTTCCTTAAACATAAAAAGGTGTAACTGGGGTTACTGTATCTTAAAAAAAAAGTAGTGGCTTAAAGTAACGCATATTTATTATTTTATAGTCCTGGAGGCTAGAGACAAACAAATTGAGGCTAATGGAAAGGTGTTCAGAGAACTCCTTTCCTACAGAAATACTAGGGAAGAATCTTTTGTTGTATTTCCACTTTCTGAAGAGAGCCTACATTCCATGGGTCATTTTCTTCCACCTTCAAGGCCAAGAATGGGCCTTCTGGTTTAGTATCTCATGCTGTTTCCTTCAGATAGGCTCTTAAGTTTCACTCTGTCAAGCAAAAGTAGCTTTGCAATTACACTGGCCAGGATGATTCAGCATAATTTTATGTTAAATTCAACCAATTAATAACCTTATTCCAACTGCAACCCCAGTTCACCTTGGCCAAGTAATATATACATGCTCTGGGTGTGGACATGGGCAGGGTTATTCTGTAAAACACTAGGGCAGTGCTTAAATGAGTTTTAAGTTTATTTTGATTTTATGTATACTAGTGTTGTCCTTGCATTACACCACTATGTAAGTGCATCTGTGTCATGCAGCACCCACAGAGGAAAGAAGAAGGTGTCGAGCCCCTGGAACTGTAGTTACAGACAGTTGCTAGCTGCCATGTCTGTCCTGGGATACCAACCCCATCTTCTCTAAGAATAACCAGACGTTTAGATTTTTTTTTTATCCTAACGAGCTTATTGGGCTTCCTAAGAGAGCATAGGTTGGGGGTTTATTTACAGAAGAACGGGCACCCCCCAGTCCCTTAGGCGAGTTTTAAAATGGACAACAGTAATAGCCTCAACTTGTGTTTAATGCCACTACTGCTTGTCAGACATAGCAAGCACAGAAAAGAGGGCATCAAAAGCTGAGGAGGTGGGTGGGGTAAAAGAAGAAGACTCAAAAGCAGCCAAGTATCTGTGTTGAGAATGTCTGGAAAGTCCTTCCCAAGAGTCACAGTGAACCTAGGCAGGTAGCTATGGCTGAGGTCCATGCTGGTTCGAATCCTTCCCACATTCGCACACTGCCAAACATGAGAGCTTGGACATGGCTGGCAAGAGAGAACCTCTGGCAAGAAAACCAAACTGGGGTCTAACAGGTGGCTGTGGGGCAGCAAGAGGCAGGACTCTTTCATGCCCTGTAAATCCCTACCGACCTGGAAAAGGGAAAAGCCCCTGTCTTGGGCAGCTGGGAGAACACTAAATGACCAAACCCAATGTGTTCCTACTTAGAATGGAGCTGGGCGGGGATGGGGACGCCAAAACTCAGTGCGGCAGAATCGTTTGCACAAACATGTTGCTTTAGGAGGCCGGGTGGTGTGGTGTGGTATGTGGTGATCCTTTTGAAACAGGGCCAGCAGGTGGGGGATGTAATGAGAGCCCCCACTTCAGTTCCCCTAGAGGGAGAAGTTCCCTCCTCCCCTTCATGGTTGCATGAACCAGTGAAAGAAAAACATGGGAGAGCCAACAAGAGCCTTCCTGGCTGTCTGTTGCTAGGTCACCTGTCCCCTGTCAGGCTGCAGTCCTGACAACCCCCCCCCACCCCTTCCACTGGCGTCAGGCAAGGAGGGAGAGCAGGGGGAACAGGGGGGAGTACAGGGAGGGGCAGGCTCTGCAGCCTCGGTCTGGGGTGCAGATGCACCAAGGGGCCGCTCAGTATCCATCCGCTGCTCCCTCCAGCTCCCCAAGTCCAGACCTCCTCCCCCGCCTGGCCCCTCTCCAAGTCCCCGGAGCCCCTAAGCCCTCAGCCTTCCCCTCCCACACACACTGGCAGCCACACAAAAGTGGCGGTGGTCTCGGCCTTGGTGTGCGCGGGGTCCGCAGAGGCTGCCTGCGCAGCCCTCCCCTCCAAGAGGAGTGTTTGTGGCTCCGCCCACTCCGGGTCGGAACTACGGTGGGCCTGGGAGGGGGCGTCGTGCCGAGTGCGCCATATCCCTCCGCCCCCTTCCCGACACCCTCGAGGCGAGCGGTGCCTGCCGCATCCTGCGCAGCCCCTGTCCGCTGTGGTGCAGAGGCGTGGGGGCGGGACGCCACTTTGCCGTTCGGCTCGCGCGCCAAGCAGTGGGAGCCTGACAGACGTGGAGCTGCGCTGGATAGAGCACAGCCGGGAGCGGACAGGGGACAAGGGTAGTCCAGCGACCCGGGCGGTGTGCCTGGCCAGGCAAGTGGGGGTGTGTCGCGGGCGCGGAGCGGTCACGCACTGCGGACCCGGCCCTGTATCCCTCCATCTCATCCTGGCAGCTCCGCTTCTCCGCAGCCCCCGCAGCCCTGCATCCTCCACATCCCGGCAGCCCCGCTTTCCCATATTTCCGCAGCTCCTCAGCCCTGTGCCAAAGGGGTGGGGTGGTAGCTCCCCAGAGTGGCACGCAATGCCCGGAGACCCCTGGCGGTGAGCAGGCGGAGACCCGGGCTGGTTGCAGACGGAGGGGTGGCCTGAGCAGCGGGGGTCTGATGGTCCAGAGGGTCCTGGCAACCGGCTTCCCAGGCGCCCGCGCCCGCGCCCCGCCCTCCATGGTGTCTGCTGCCCGCGAGGGTTGTTGGGGAGGCGGCTGTGGGAGAAATGGTGGCGCGGGAGCTGGGGGTAGGAGGCCGCGGAGCCGTGTTGGGGGGCGGTGTCCAGCTGTGTGACCAGCTCAGCTGGTGGTGGGGAGTGCCTTTGGCTACTGGGGCTCCCATTCCGGAGAGGGGCGCTCGTGCCCGCATCCTGGGTGCTGTCCCTCCCACAGGCTCTGCTTGATGGCAAAGTCTTCTGTCTGCATGGTAGGTCTGGCATATTCTGACAGGCCACAGTGAGCATCTGTAGACCAGAGGCTTGAGAAAAGAAGAGCAGGAAAATGGCCTGGATTTCTGGAGGTGTGTGGCAGTGCGGGGCGTGGGGGACCAGACAGCGAACGGAGACTCCGAAGGGGTGGGGGTGACTGTGCCCAAAACAGGTGGGCATCCAGTAGGGCCTCCCAATGTCACTTCTCACAGTGTAGGTGCTTCCTCCACCGTCCTCGTCCTCCCTCTTCCCCTCTCTCCTTTCCTCCTCAATTTGGGCTCTGAAAAGATGGGTTGGGGATGATGACGGAGTCATAAATTCAAAGACCACTTCGCAACCTGCTTTCTAGAACATGCTGCGCCCTTCCCCCATTTTCTGCTGCGCAGGTCTAGGAGATGTGGCGCCCCTAGTGGTAAATCCACAGAATTGGAGAAGGGACTAATGGGAAGTGTATGACATCAAGAGGTGTTGTTGCTTCCTGAATCCTGCATCCAGCCTAAACAAAACAAGAATGTTCCAGCAGTAGTGTCCAAATCGGGAAAGACACATGATATCGGTCCTGTCCTTGGTTTTGGTCTGGTCAGTGAGCTCAGCTACTGCTGTTTTTCCCTGATTGTCTTACCTTTTCTTCTCTTTTTCTATAGGCTTGCTTTAAGGCTGGTGGATTTTGCAAGAAAGAGAAGGACTAGGAGCCGTTCTCAAATCTCTGGACGTTGGTGAGAAAGGGAAAAACACAGGAAACAGCTACTGAGGAGAAAAAATGCAGGTTGCTTTAATCCAAATGGGTGCACCATGACTTTCCTGATCCCCCAATTGCCCACTGCCCACAGCCTCCTTTATTTATTTCCTTTAAGAGGTCTTAGGAATGTTGAAGTAGATGTAAGTCTGACTGTGACCTGCAGGGAAAGACCTAAGAGTTGAGGCCAGGGGACAGGACATTTAGACCAAAATGGAGCCTGATTTGGTTTTGGTTTTGTTTTTTGTTTGTTTGTTTGTTTTTTCTTTTTTTAAGGTATCAGGGTGTCTGTCTAGCAAGCACTGAGTCCTGTTCTCTTTTGTTTGTCTGTCTGTAGGACCCCCTGTTGTTGGCTGTAGGTCTTAACTCTGCTTCACCACAGAAAGGAGGGGAAATTGCACCACATCTGTGAAGGTTGGTATGGGATGGATTCACTTTAGGTGGGGGCAGTAAAGACCATCCAAGAGTGACTTCTCTCTGTTTTTCGGGCTCCTCTGCCTCTCCATTTCTAGCATTTGTACTTCCACCCCTTCTTTGTCCCTCTTTTTCAGCACGGAAGAGGGACAGGGAGATTTTTCATAGCCAGTCACCGTTGAGTACCAGTCTCTGTGTAAGTCTCTACAAGAGGCAACACAATTTGATAAGACTGATTCCCCATTTTGTTCTCTCTTCCTAGATCCACCTCCAGCTGCAGCTGTGGTGGTGCTGGAGTTGCTGCTGACCACCACCCTCTATAGTCTGCACCCACCTAGGACCTGTCCATCTTCCCCCAGCTTGGTTTTGCCTCTTCTGTGCTTTATCTATAGTATTGACTGAGACTGTGCTTGGGTAGGAACCTCATTATCTGCCAGATTGGTGACCTACTCCTGTTTCTCACTGTATCTCTTGGATCATCTAAAGATCAGAGTGTGAAGATACATTTCTGTGACAGAACTGTTGTTGAGACTGAGGCTTTGGTAGGCAGTCTTAGTTGAGCCTTCTCTCTAATTTGTACCATGACTGGGGCAGAGGTTGACACTGGTGCTCAGGCAAAGGCTGAAAAGAAACCTGGGGAAGAGGTTGTGGGAGGGGCTGAGCCAGAACGGGAAGTTCCTCTGGTTGTCAGACCCAAAGTTAGGCCCCAGGTCCCAGTAACACCTGGGGCAAGACCCAAAACTGAAACTAAATCTTTGTCTCGGGCAAGGCCCAAATCTGAAACCCAGTCAATGGCTGGAACAAGACCTAAAACTGATATTCAGGCAATGACTGGAGCAAGGCCCAAAACTGAGGCCCCGGTAATGACTGGGGCCAGGCCTAAAACTGATGCCAGGGCAGTAGGTGGTGCTCGTCCTAAAACTGAGGCCAAGCCAATCCCTGGGACAAGGCCTAAGGATGATGCCCAGGTGTGGGCCCAGAGTGAATTTGGTCCTGAGGCCATGTCACAGGCTGAGGGAGCACTGCCTAGCAATGCTGTCACATGGCCACTGGTCAGTGCTAGGTCTGCATCAGTTCCGAAATCTAAGAGTCTGTCTATGGATAGAGAACTAGTCAGTATGGACAGTGAAACCTTTCCTGGCACTCAGGGTCACCATGGACTCCAACCCTGGTTTGGACTGGGGGAGGAGAGTAACATGGGTTCTTGGTGCTATCCCAGGCCCAGAGCCAGGGAGGAAACCTCTAATGAGTCTGGATTCTGGTCAGCAGATGAAACCTCTACAATGTCTTCTTTCTGGACTGGAGAGGAGACAAATATCAGGTCATGGCCCAGGGAAGAGGCAAATGCCAGGTCCAGGCACAGGGCTAAACATCAGACTAATGCCAGGTACAGGCCCAGATCTAAACAAGAGCCTTATATTGATACTTGGTCTGGGTCTGAGGATGAGGCAGGCAGCCCATTCTGCTTTTGGTCTGGAGAAAATACCAATAATTTGTTTAGGCCCAGAGGCAGGGAAGAGGCAGATATCAGACCTAAACCCAGGGCAAAGAGAGAGGACTATTTTGAATCTGAGTCCGAAGATGAATTCTATAAAGAGTCTTGGTTTTTGCCTGGAGAAGAGGCTAATAGATTCAGGCGCAGAGACAAGGAAGAGCCAAATAACATCTTGAACCCCAGGAACCAGAAAGATGTTAAGAACAGTGACAGGGCCAAACAGGACCCCAGGTTTGAGGAGGAAGTCATTATTGGGTCCTGGTTCTGGGCAGAAAAAGAGTCTAGTCTAGAGGCTGGAGCTGGAGCTTCGGCAATCTGTGAATCTGAGCCGGGGGCAGAAGGGGGAGCCATTGGTGGATCCTTGTTCTGGGCTGAGGAAAAGCCCAGTTTGGGGGCTATGGCCAGAGAAGAGACCAGGCCTGAGTCTGAAGAAGAGGCCATATTTGGGTCTTGGTTCTGGGATAGAGATGAGGCATGCTATGACCTAAATCCCATTCCTGTGTACAAGGCTAATTGCCGGTTCAGAGATCCAGCTGAGGAGGAACTTAATGCATCATCCAGGCCTCAAACTTGGGAAGAGGTTACTGTTGAATTCAGACCTGGTCCTTATGGGGTTGGCTTTCCATCTGCAAGTTCCTTTAGAATTCCCGAAGGGTCTTCTGAAAATACTGAGGCACAGGCCAAGAATGGGGAAGGTAGCCCAGAGGAGGTGGAACAGGTATCTTTGCTTCAGCCTAATCAGCCTGAACCTGAGTTCTCATTTCAGTATGATCCCTCCTACCGTTCAGTTCAGGAAATTAGAGAACATCTTAAGGCCAGGGAAAGTGCAGAGCCTGAGAATTGGTCTTGCAACTGCATACAGTGTGAGCTTAAAATTGGTTCTGTGGAGTTTGAAGAACTCCTTCTGCTAATGGATAAAATCCGTGATCCTTTTATCCATGAGATATCTAAAATTGCAATGGGCATGAGAACTGCTTCTCAGTTCACCCGAGATTTTATTCGAGATTCTGGTGTTGTCTCGCTCATTGAAACCTTGCTGAATTATCCGTCCTCCCGAGTTAGGACAAGTTTTTTGGAAAACATGATTCATATGGCTCCACCTTATCCAAATCTAAACATGATTGAGACATTCATATGTCAGGTGTGTGAAGAAACTCTTGCCCATGGTGTGGATTCCCTTGAGCAGCTAACTGGAATAAGGATGCTTAGGCACCTCACTATGACTACTGACTATCACACACTGATTGCCAATTATGTGTCCGGGTTTCTCTCCTTATTAACCACGGGCAATGCAAGAACAAAGTTTCATGTTCTGAAAATGCTGTTGAATTTGTCTGACAATCCTATGGTGGCAAAAAAACTATTCAGTGCCAAAGCTCTGGCCATATTTGTGGGTCTCTTTAACGTAGAAGAGACAAATGATAACATTCAGATTGTTATTAAGATGTTTCAGAATATCAGTAATATTGTAAAAAGTGGAGCAATGGCTTTAATTGATGATGATTTCAGTCTTGAGCCACTTATTTCTGCATTCCATGAATTTGAAGAGTTAGCTAAGCAACTGCAGATCCAAATTGACAATCAGAACGATCCCGAGGTGGAACAACAAAGTTAATGTGATTACCCATCCACCTGCCGCTTGATCAGCCTTATGTTCCCAAAGATCCCTGACTTGTGCTTTGGTGTTCACAGTCTGGTTCTGTGTTGTAACTTATATTTTTAATGCTGATGTTAACTTGTCAAACTCTTGTTCTGAGCTGGATCATTTGTGGATGCCAAATGAATATTAGAAGTGAAAACACATTTGTTGATATTTGTCTTACTGTCCAGATTGTGATATTTTTAGTGTTGAGCTTCTAATGAACCAAGTCAAACGAGTAAGCTACCCTGCTGTTTGTTGTTTAAACATGTGGTTCTCTACTTGAGTCTGTGTTTTCAATAAAGTTGTACGTTAAAATTGGCATAAATGACCCTTCTTCACTTTAAAATCCAGATGCAGATACATGGTGCACATTCACATTAGTATTAGGGCTTACACATGCTCATTAGAAAAATCCTATTCTTAAATTTTAAGAAGGGAGAGATTCCTGGGGCCTTTGGTACTGGAAAAATCCTACAGAGAAGTGAAACCCAGATAAATTGGTCATTGAACTATAGGCATTCTTGGAAATAAACCTTGGTGATATCCAAAAAGTGTGTAATTGGAAAATATATTAGCATGAATATATCCAGTATGTGTGGAATAGGTGCAAGGAACATAGTAATGCAGTTGGAAAACTGGGATAAGGTAAGTTTGGGAGAATAGAGTAAGTCAAATTTGCACAGTTTACAATTCAAAGTACAGTTGTTGCTTCAGTCTACCCTAAAGGGTGAATGACAAAGCCTCCAATTAAATGGGCTCAGAGACAGTGTTACTTTTGCCATGTTAGTCCAAGGAAAGTATTAAGGGAACATCATGCAGCTGTTAAAGTAACTGTAGATTAACTCACATGAAAATGACAATAGTAAGTTTATGTGCAGTGAGACAGAGAGGAATGTGGCATCTTTGAAAAATTTGGTCCTACATTAAAACATGTATACATGAAATGTCTGTCTCTGCAAGTCAGTGTGACTGAAGCATCTTTGTCTATTCCATAGTCTGGAATGAAATATACAACATTAAATTCTTAGAGGCAGACATTAAACATGAAAAGGAAAATTTAAAAGTTAATGCGCATACATCTGGTGACTGGTTATAGGTGAGCATGCTGAAAAGGATACAGTTCAAGAAATGATTAACGTAATGTCTTAAAAGTTTAGAGATAAAGTGATGTAGAAAAGTTATAAATGGACAAGACTTCAGAAAATAAATCTAGCCTTTTAAATTACCAAGTTTACTAAATTTTTATTAGTCTGTTGATGGTGCAAATATGGCATTTTTGTGTGATTATTACATTCAAACAATCATAACATTTCCTTTTTAGGTGGCAAGAAAGTTCTGGAACTAGACAGTGATGATGGTTGCAACAGCATTGAGAATTTACTTATGTCACTGAATTATACACTTTAAATTGATTAAAATGGTAAGTTCTATGTTATGTGTATTTTACCATGACAAAAAAAGTCTACAACACAATTTATGACAGAAGAATTGAAAAAGTCAGGGATGGAGTTGGTTTGCAGAGGGATTCCAAATTGTTGGAACTATGTTTTTATTGGTTTTAGACTTGAGGAGGATGTTTATTTTGGGGTGTTTAAAAATACTGTATATTTTCAAAAAGATAAAATTGTGACTCTTGTTAATTAAAAGTGAGCATGGTAAAAGACTTTTTTCCAACACAGTGGACAACTGCTAAGATCAAGAAAGAGTTGAAGGAGATACATGTTTATTCAGTATACACAAGATAAAGATATAAATAATATATCAAACTTCATACACAAAATTAAATGATAGAGTAGTATTACAGAATTATATAAAAACTGACTACTGTCTCACAGGGTAGTGACTTAGAACATTTAATTTTATCTGTACTATTGGACAAATGTTTTCTCTGTATAGTGAACATAATGTAAACATGTTAACACCAGCCTCTGCAAGGTTGAAAAGTAGCTCAATTCATAGAATGTGAAGTCCTGTGCTGTACTATCTCTGATGATTGTACTCAATTACTGTATAATTTACCTAAAAGTGCAACAGTTTCCCACCTGATTCTAGAAAGTGATGGAAATAGGGCAAAGTGGCAGTTTAGTACCCCTTTACAAACCTCAGATCTTAAGAGTGATCATCCTCTTGGTAGAAACTGAAATAGAAATGTTTTATTAATAATTTTCAAGATCTTCTGTGTCTGTTTTTATGTCTAAACATACAAATTTTGAGACTCAATTCATGACTCAAATCCTTGGACTTTTCCCCATCCACCATGTACTGTTAAGAGACCAAGTCCCACGCTTTAGGATGGAAGCTTTGGCTCCTAATCCAGCTAACCTTCCAATTCTCTGTCTTCCTGGTGAAGGACTTCAAGTTCTTCTGGCAAGTTGTTCAACACAGAAGCAAAAGACTCTACCCTGATGCTGCAGAGCTACTGTAAATGCACTGCTAATCCTGATGATAGATCATAGGACTAGATTCTTGCCTCGAAAGGCAGAGAGAAGTTTACTGGCCTGGAGAAAGAAAGGAAAGACACACCTGATAACTGAATCGGGATGGGACAGGAGGTTAAGCCGGAAGTTGTGATTTCTGGAGCAGCTTCCCTGTCATGTCTAGAAGACAGTATCTAGCATCAGGCATCCTGGTCCTCTGCTTCTTACAATCATTCTGCCCCCTCTTCCCTGGCGTTTCCCGAGTCTTTGGTGTAGGGGTTGTGTTGTAGCTGTACCAATTGCCATTGAGCACCCCATAATGATCTATTCTCTGCATTTTGACCACTTCCCTGTAGTCCTCTCCATCTGTTACAAAATGAAGCTGCTTTGATGAGGAGTAGGAGTCACTTTTGTCTGTGGGTATACGGATATTTAGAGTACACTTAGACATTATATTGGTTTAGGAAAATGACAGTAATAGGTTTTCCTCTAGGGTCTATGACCTCTCCTGCCACAGTTATTTTGCTAGGTTTACAGTACCATGCATGGATTCTCTCCTATTGTGTGGGCCCGAAGTTCAGCTAGACAGCTGTTGGTTACCTAGAAGATAAAAGTGCCACTGTCTCACCAATGGGACTATCATGCCAAGATGGTCATTGTTGTGGTTCATGGGCTTTACAGGTGGGTAGGACTACTGACTGCTTCTCTCCATTGGCAGCTTTCATAGTACCTGCCAGTTCCGGCTGGATTCCTTCAAGTCCTGTGTCCGAGGTGTGTGGTATCTTCAGCAATATGATTTTACCTTTAAGTTCTGGGAGGCAACCAAGGGCAATGGCAATAGTCTATATTGTTTGGGAGTCTCTTGATCCCTGATCAATAACTTGAAGGGAGGTTTCCCATGCCTGTCACTGCAGTTTTTGTTAGTCTGTGGCCCTTGGGAGGAACATTATCACTCCTTGTGATATAGCTCCATTTGTTTGCCTGAACAAGACCTACGTAATGACAATACAATTTCCCATGCCAATATGGCATAATGACATCTCCAGTTCACATCCTAATATGGATTGGGGCAATTTCACAAGGCCCCATCCCTTGATGAAGATCTACAGGCAATCTGTGACTGCTGTGAGAGGAAGAATCCAGTCTTCTCTAAGGATAAGCTCCCTAATAAGTTTGACCTGATAGGGCTGATCACTTGGGATTGGATAACCTAAGCACATGTGCTTAGGGGCAACAGTAAATAAACTCAGTAGGGTGTGTGTGTGTGTGTGTGTGTGTGTGTGTGTGTGTGTGTGTGTGACATTTTTTAAGAAGCTGAGAGTCATCCTGTAGCAATTGCTATCGGAAGAGGTGAGTCCTGAGAATTGACATCCTTTGAGTGGTCATGGCTGAGGCTAGATGACAATGGTTGAAATGCCTCAGACCCTCCCTCCCCATTTTCTGAACACCTCATCCTATCCCTAGACCTCCACCCCACACTCTATGAATATGTTTTGGTGGTAGAGATGAATGTTCAGGTGGAGATGGCTTCAGGAGCTGAGAGAGGGAAAACCATTCTATGACAGTACACATGGGCTCTTATTTTCTACTTTATGTGTGTCTTCCTTACTGACATTATCCAGTCAGTAGGAATGTCTGGTATCAGTTCAAAATTTGAGAAGACAAGAGAGAACATCACATCTGCCTTTTCTTGACCCTTATGTGACTCTCTTGTCCTGCTGTGTTGTATCTGAGATACTCGTCACCTTGTCTTTGGGGTGGGGGTGGGGCTTCAACCTGTACAAACTACTTTATTGAAAACCTCACAGGTTCTCCTCTCTCTACCATTTTCTTTCTTTTGGTTTGTTCTTTCTCATTTTCTTTGGATGTGTTCCTTTGCATCTTAGCTAGCAACCACTTGATGCATTCTTGTCCTTTCTGAGTATTCTTCCACATAGATCTACCAGGTACCAAGTAAATGAACAGTTATATGCTTACTCTTATGACAGTAAATATGTGGGTTTTTTCAATAATATTATTTTTATTTTATGTGTGAGTATATTGTGTGCATGTTTATAAGTGTGCCCATGTCATGCAATGTCCATGAAGGTCAGAAGAGGACGTTGGATCACCTGGAACTGGAGTTGTGGATGGTTGTTAGCTGCTATGTGGATGCTGAACCTGGGTCCTCTGCTGAGCAGATAGTGCTCTTAACTGCTGAGCCACCTCTCTAGGCTCCCCCCACTTTTTTATGCCGGGTAGTTTTCCAGTTCTCTGAAGACACCACTTGAAACCCCAACAATTTCATTCAGATATGACACTACCCAAAGTTAGTGCGGACTCCACAGATTAAGGACTCAGTCTCACAAAATTGCCCCCAATGTCAGATGACAGTCACAAAGTAGTGAATCTTCAGGTTACACTTCTGTATGACTTTGTTACTAATCACAAGTTTCCAGAACTTACCTCACATTCAGTAATTTGTTATATAGGCACAAGTAGATCACCAAAATAATTTACTGCTAATGAGTTATTATGAAAGGTTTTAAAGGATATAAATGGCAAGCCAGATGAGGTAGTACATAGAGGAATGACTAGAAAGGTGCAAGGTATAGGACCTGCTGTCACCAAGGAGTTGTACATGGATGCATTCACTAGGCAGAAAACTTCCTAGTTCCAACAGTTAAGGTCTTTCTAGAAGTTCAGGTATATAGTCTTGATTGATTAATTGGTCACTGGTGATTAACTCAATCTTCAATTCCCTTGTCCCTAAAAGTTCCATCTGTCTAAGCATATCTTAGTCTTCTTAGTGACCAGTCCTGTCCTTATGCTACAAGGGAGCCCATCTCCTGTCATCTCATCAGCATACAGTTTTTAATACTCCAGAGATTCTAAGGCTCCTAAAAGGTCTTATATCTCTTGTATTAGGAAACCAAAATCTAAGACCAAGTCTTGTAATATAACATGCCCGTGTTTTATCTGTTACTGAGGAAATTATAAGACCTTAGGAGTGCTGTCCCAGGCAATGGAAACAAAGATACCTGTGTCATCTCTTTTATTTTTAATTGTTATACAATAGTTATCCATATTTATGGGTTACAGTGTGTTAATTCAGCACATGTTTACTATACGTCATGATCAAATCAGAGTAATTAACATTCCCATGTCCTCAAACATCCCTTTGTTATTATTCTCTACCTTCTGCTCTGCAAAATTCTGGTAATATTGTTACTGGCACCAAACCAACTTAGAGCCTTTCCTTTCAAGCTCTGTTGTTTCTTGTCTATGTCTGTGTGTTTTTAAGAGTTTGACAAAATAGAAGCCCTCAAGTGTGCTGTGGAATAGAAGAATATATCTGATCTCTGTCTCTAGTTCTTGATACAGGGTTTCATAAACCTTTGAAATTTCCTGGTAAGTCATAGAGATTGAGTGTCTTTATCGTGCTATAGGCTATTCTCTGGTCACCGGAATAAAAGATTGTGTGATAGAGGTTTAGAATTTGGGGCTATGTCAAGCTCTAAGGAGGGAAGTGGGGCCAAGTATTGAGTTCAATCACAATGACAGTCAATCATGCTCATACAATTAATCCTTTCAAAAAAACCTCAGAGGACTGGGGAGTTTGCTCAGTGTGAGGGCCAAGCAAGCATGAGAACTTGAGCTGGGATCCCTAGCACCATCTAAAAATTGGAGCATGGTTGGCACATGCCTGTAAACTTGGGGCTGTGAGGCAGAGATGAGGAGGTGGAGACCAAGGATCCCTGAAGCTTTCTGGATAACCAGTTTAACCAATCAGTGAGCTCTAGGTTCAGTGAGAGAAATTGTCTCAAAAAGGAGGCAGAGCACAATACAGGAAGACTCCCTGTGCCAGCCTCTGGCCTCCACACAGGCACATATAGCACACATGGGTCAGCAAACCTTCAAACGTATACACATACACACACACGTTAAAAGTTCAATTCTTATTTTCAAGCTGAGTTGGTAAATAAACTATTGTGTAGGAAGGGGGACTATTCCCCAATTCCATAGGGAGTGAGCATAGAAGCTAGGGTCAAGACCCTTCCTCACCTTGTCCTATATGAGTTCTAGTAAATTAGGAGATCTGGTGATGTTGGTATTCCCAAATTTGTAACTTGTGAGTCAGAAGTATGAATAACTCTCTGAGAATAAAGGCTGACGTCTCATCTAAAGTGATGGTGGTGTTTTTGGTGACTGTGCTTTTCAGTTTGTGTGGTCTGATGCAAACTCTGGGTGATTGATGTCAAAGAACTGATGTCAGAACAATGCTGTATTGTCTATAGTTTTAACAGTCCTCTCTCTCTCCATATACATTATATATGTATATGTATATGTATATGTTCCTATACATCCTAAATTAAGTTAAAGGAGGGAGAGTCTGTGCCAAAGCAGTATATAATTTTGTGCAATTACTTTTAATTTAGGCAGTTTTGAAACTGATCTGTCTTTTGTTTTATTAACACCCCTTCAGCCTGAAAATCTTGTCAGTATTGCAGTAATATTTGTGGAACTTCAAATTTTGATCCAACAGGTTATATCTAAGTTTCATATTTTCCTCCCAGCAGACATTTAACCCGTTTATGCCTGTGATAAAATTGCAGTTCTAGCCAAAAAACAGGGTAAGATGTGTGCATGCATGTACACATGTATGTGTGTGCTTATAAGCCCAAAATAATAATTCTGTTTATTTTCATCACTCCTTAGGTAGGGTTTGTAAAGGACAGGGTCATCTCTCAATTTTTTCTTATGTAATTAGAATTTTTAAAAAATCTCATTCACACACGTTTCTTGTTTCACCCATTTTGTATAAATATCATGGGCATTTTCATGTTATATCAGGTCCAGTTCAGATCTTACCTACCTAAAACATTACTCTGAAAGGATAGAATTAGAAATTTGTTATCTTTCTAGTTTTGAATGAAACAGATGTATCTTCTTACAGCACAGTTGTTCTGTTATTACTCACCAATCCTTGACCCTCCATTCAATTTGAAAAGAACAATCTTCAGTGAGATCTCATCTGTAAAATATCACCAGATTCTCTATCAAAGCTTTCAAGGTTTGTTGAACTATAATTTGGTCATTGTATCTACAAATTCCAATACTGTCTTCCAAGTCAAAGGCAAGACTAGAGATAAAATGTTGAATGAAGCATTCACTTCTTACTCCAGGACTTGCTCTGTTTTTCTCGTGCTTAACCTGCAAGGGAATAAATCCCTGCTAAGCACAAAAGGCCATTGATGATTAATAAAAACAGTACACTTCTGGCTTTTTCTTGATCTGAGACAAAGACCTGGCAGGCTTTTTCTCCCACTGACAAGGCCTTCTTGCAGCTGATCAGTCCAGACCAGTCTAGATAAGACCAAGGCCAGTCCTGGATATATGTTAGCTTGGAGCTGTAGCCCAATGGCTTTCTCTTCTTTAAGTAGAACAACTCAGAAGTATGGGAGTGGATCCCACCAAAAACATTTAAAAGGCCCAAGCCCTCCATGGGGTTTGACTTTTTCAATTTATGAATCCACTCTCCACTTGGGGACAGCTTTCCTTACCGTGAGTGTGTTTTAGAGGGGAGGCTTCTAATAAAGTTTGTTGCCTGTTGCTTTCTGCTGTGTCTAAGGATTTTGCCTGTCTTTTAATTCTCTCTCTTTTTTTGGTCTTTTTAAAGACAGGGTCTCCCTCTAGCCACAGCTGGCCTGGAACTCCCTGTGGAGACAGGCTAACCTGTATCTCACAGATCCAGGGGGTCAAATGTGTGCACCACCATGACTGGCTGATTCTTTAATTTGTGGGGGAAACAGACTGATCAAGATTCCTAGATAATAACAGACTCACACTGAACTACTTTCTCTTTCCTAACAATACTGTGCACTTTAGGACTTTGTGCCTCTCCTATGCTGTTGCCAACAATCTTTCATGTTCTTACAACCATTTTTTTCTGTCTGTTGGAAATATTCATCTTTTTAGCCCAGCTCAAATAAAATGACCAGTTTGGTATTTTTCTGGACCTTTGTCCTTATTCTTTGTACCTTGTTAGGAAATAATTTCTAAATCCTCTATACTTACACAATATTTTTTCTAACCATACTTTTGTAATTCCTTCCCTCTCCTCCCCCACTTCCCTTCTGTGCTATCCTTTGCTTCTTTGAAATGTAGCTAATCAAACTCATGACTTCATACATGCTAGGCAATCACTCAACACTGTTCTACATTACCAGCCCCTTATTTTAGCATTTGTTTCTTTACACTAAGTATTTGAATCCTTTTTTAAAAGACTGTTTTATTTTTATGTGTTTGAATGTTTTGCCTGCATGTGTGTATGTCCACCATATACATGCCTGCTTCCCATGGAGACCAGAACAGGGTGTCAGATCCCCTGGGACTGGAGTTACAGACTATTGTGAGCCATCATGTGCATTCTGGGAACTGAACCCAGGTTCTTTGTGAGAGCAGCAAAAGTACTTTTAACCACTTAGTCATGTCTTCAGCTTAGGGATCTTTTTTTTTTTTTGTCTTTTTGAGACAGGGTCTCCCTGTAGCCCCAGCTGTCATGGAACTCACTATATAGACCAGGCTGGCCTTGAACTTACAGAGATCCACCTGCCTCTGGAGTGCTGGGATTAAAGGCGTGCGCCACCATGCCCGGCGGGAATCTTTTTAAGTGAATAGTATAGAACTAGTGTGGAGGGGCAGGTGGCATAGAGAAAGAAGCTTGGTTTATGGAAGTGTGATTCAAACCAATCTGGCTGTTAAGCCCAGACATTTTAATGCTTAAGATATGAATTATTGCTAATATTAAGATTTATTGTACTCTTTCTTTTTTAGTAATTTGGTCTTTAAGACTTTTTATCTATTTTACTTATCTTTTCCTCTTATTAAATTAGCAGATGAAATTATATGAATTTATCATGTACAATATGTTTTGAAGAAACAAATTTATTGTCTCATGCTATCATTTTTGTTTGGAAAATGCTTTAACACACTATTTTGTGTTTTTCAAGAATATAATATAACAACATGAACTGTACTCCCCTAGATGTATAATAGATCTCTTGAACTTTTTCTCGTAACAATAGATGTCTGTCCATTAATCAATATATTCCCTAAACTCCTCTCCTTGCTAGTCACCCCAGTTTCTAGTAACTCCCATTGTACTTTCTGCTATAAGATACACTTTTTAAGGTTCTACATATGAATGCAATCATGCAGTATTTCACTTTCTGTGCCTGGCTTACTTCACTTAACATAATGTACCAGGTTCATTCAAGGTATATAATGGAATTTCTTTTTGTGACTGAATATTCCTTTCTGTATATGTGACATTTTCTTTTCTCCTCATCCTCTAATGGTCAGTTACTTTGATTTGCTATGTTGGTTATTGTGAAAAATAGTACTAAATAAATAATTAATGTGAAATTGAATGTATCCCAGTAGTGGGATTGCTGGGTCACATGGCATTTCTTTGGTGATTTATTTTTTTATATGTACGAGTGTATTGTCTGCATGTATGTAAGTGCACAGATTTCATGTAAAGCCTGTGGAGATCAGAAGAGGGTGTTGGATCCCCTGATACTGGAGTTACAGATGGTTGTAAGCCATCATGTGGGTGCTGTAATTGAACTGGGGACTTCTGTAAGAGCAGCTAGTGTTCCTAACCACTGAGTAATCTCTCCAGGCCTCTTTGGTACTTTAAAAAAAAAAAACTTTTGAAGAATCTCCATATTATTTTCTATAGTGTCTGTGCTAATTTACCTCATAACTAGGGGTGTACTAAGTAGCACATTATATTTTGTCTTTTTGATAGTGGCCATTCTGGCTAGATTGAAGTTTGATACCCATTGTAGTTTTAATTTGCATTTCTTTGATGATTGGCGATATGGGACATTTTTTCACATATCTCATGGCCATTTGTGTGTCTTTTTATTTTTGATGTGCTGAGGATTGAATCCAGGACCTTGCATATGTTGGGCAAGTGCTCTAGCACTAAGCTGTATTCCTACCCTATATCCTCTTTGGGGAAGTATTTATTCATGCCTATCATACATTTTTAAACATCACGTCATTTGTCCTGCTGTTGAGTTGCTGGTGCTCTTTATATATTCTGTGTGTTATCTACTTTTAGATGTGTAGTTTGTAGATACGTTCTCGGTTCTGTAGGTTGTGTTTTCAATTTGTTATTTCTTTTGCTATGCAGAAGCCTTTTAGATATATTCTCTTTATCTAATTTTGCTTTGCTGACTGTGTGTTTGGAATCTTTAAAAAAGTCTTTGCCACTGGGCATGGTGGTGCATGCCTTTAATCCCAGCACTAGGGAGGCAGAGGCAGGTGGCTCTCTGTGAGTTCAAGGCCAGCCTGGTCTACATAGTGAGTTACAGGACAGCTGGAGCTATAGGGAGACCCTGTCTCAAAAAGACCCCCCCCAAAAAAAGTCATTGCCTATAGCGATGGCTTGACGTTTCCTCTGCTTTCTTCTTGTAATTTTGTACATTAAAGTTAGATATTTAATTAATTTTGAATTTCATTTTTTATATGGCAGGAAAAGAAGGTCTAGATTCATTGATCTGATTGTAGATATCCAATTTCCCATCTCCTGTATTGAAAAGACTATCCTTTGTTGTTGTTTTTAAGTTACATTTTATTTATGTATTTTGTTTGCATGTTTCTAGGCTAGTGGGCACCAAGACCCAGATGGGGTGCATAACACAGCATGTATGTGGATGTCAGAGGACAACCTGCAGGAATCAGTTCTCTCCTGTCATATGGGTCTAGGGATCAAAGCTCAGTTCATCAGGCTTGGCACTAAGATCCTTTACCTGCTGATCCATCTCACCAGCCCCTGTACCCCTTCTCTATTGTGTGTTCTTGATATGTTTGCCAAAAATCAGTTGGTTTTAGATGCATGGATTTAATTCTAGATTTTCTACTCTGTTTTGTTTGTCTGTTTTGATGCCAATATCTGTTTTTGTTCCTGTACTATATTTTAAATCAGGTAGAGTGGTACCCCCAGCTTTGTTCTTCTTGTTCAGTTTGGCTTTGGTTATCGTGTTCTTTGTAGTTCTATATACATTTTAGGAATCTTCCTAGTTTCCAGATGAATGCCATTGATATTTTGGTTGGGATTAAATTGGACTGGTAAATTGCTTTGGGAAATATGAAATTAATTCTTCCAACCCAAAATCATGACTATTTTCCATGTGCCTGTGTTTTCTTAATTTTATCTTTTATAGTTTTCAATGTACAAATCATTCATATTCTTTTGTTTTGTTTTTTGAGACAGGGTCTCCCTGTAGCCCCAGCTGGCCTGGAACTCAATATGTAGACCAGGCTGGCCTTGATCTCACAGAGATTCACATGCCTCTGCCTGTGGAGTGCTGGGATTAAAGGTGTGCACCACTACATCTTGCTATCATTCATATTCATGATTAAATGTATTCTGAAGTGTTTTACTTTGGTGATTATTATAAAAGAGATTGTTCTCTTGGTTTCTTTTTCAGATAAGGTGCTGCTGGTGTATAGAAAGACTACTGATTTCTTTGGTAAATTTTTAATTTATTTTTTGTGTATTTCATACAGAACATCTTAATCATCATTATACCCCTTTCCCCATTGCACCCTCCTATAGCCTCCCACTGGAATTCATACATTCTTTCATTTGTGTTAAAACCTATTGTGCCAAGTTAGTGTCCCCAGATGTCCCTCAGTACAAGTTCATCCACTGGGGCCTAGTCAGCCTATCTTGAGTTCCTCCCTTTAGGAAGATCAACTCTTTCTAACCCAGCAGTAGTCATCTACCAACAATTCTTCAACTAAGATTGGGGCCTGCTACCCATCTCCACAGAATTGTGCTGGTTTTTTGTTTGCTTGAGTTTGCTTGGGTCTAAAGACTACTGATTTTTGTGGATAGATTTTATATCATGCAGCTTTAATAAATTTATTTACTAATTCTTACAGGTTTTCTTGGTACAATAGTTAATGTTTTCTCGATATAAAATCATGTCTTCTCTAGACAAGGACAATTTAATTCCTTTTTCAAATTAGGATCCATTTTAAATTTCTTTCATGTAATTTCTCTGGCTAGGACTTTCTATAATATGTTGAGTAGAAGTGGTGAATCTGGCTGTCCTTACATTGTTCCAGGCGTTAAAGGAAACTCTTTGACTTGCCTTCATTTGGTATGATGTGAACCTTTATCATGTAAAGGAACAATCCTCCTGTGCCTAATTTGTTGAGAGATTTTTGTCATCAGGAGATGTTAAATTTTATCAAATTCTTCATCTGTGTCTATTAATGATATATAGAGAGACAGAGAGACAGAGAGACAGAGACTATGTGTCTGTGTGTAGTATATGTCTATGTACTTGTATGCATACAGGTGTACATGCCTGTGCATTCAAGAAGACCAGAAAATGTCAGGTGTCTTCTATTGCTCTTTTTCTGCTTCTGTCGTTCTTTTTTGGCTAGGCTAGTGCACCAAGACGCAGAGATACTCCTGCTTCCCCTTCCCCATCTCTGGGGTTTTCAGGCATGCTGGCCATGCCCAGCTTTTGATGTAAGTTCTGGGGATCTGATTCCAGTTCCTCATTCTTGTATAACAAGAGTGTTTTGACCCACTGAGCCGTGTCCACAGTGTGTCATGTTTATTGAACCATTCTTACATCTGTGAGATGAATCTCATTTGATCATAGATAATGATTTTTATAATGTGTTATTTAGTTTGTTGTCATTATTTTTGAAGATTTTTTATGTCAACATCCTTCAGGGATTTGTTTTGTTAACTGAGTAATTTATTGGTGCCAATCATTCTTCTAAAGGCTGTGAATTACTTTTGTGGGCATATATTCATTGCATATAGTACTGGGCTTTATATAGTAAGTTTCTTACAAGTGTATCCTCTCCTTTGGCCATATTTAGGCCTACATCTTCTCCAGTTTTTCCTCTTCTACCCTTATGCTAATCTTCAGCCTTTCCCAAGTCTCCCTTGTATTTTTGTCCCATGCATAAATTTTTTTTTAACTTTTTCCTTTTTTAAATTTTTTTAGAATTTCCTACATAAGTATAGTAATTTACATCATTTTTACCTCTCACTCTGCCCCCTCTAGCTACTCCCATGTCCCCCTGCTCCACCTCAATTTCATGACTCCTTTAATTATTACATATATACATATACATATATACACATACACACACACACACACACACACACACATATATATATATATATCCTACTTAGTCCATTTAGTGGTGTTCAGATGTGTGTGTGTGTGTGTGTGTTTAGGGCTGACCACTTGAGATTGGATAACCTATCTCTTAGCAGCCAATAATTGCCTGTAGCTCTTTGCCTAGAGGTCGGGTCTTGTGATATTTCCCCCCTCTACACTGGCATATTACCTGTAATGGTCATTGTGTAGGTATTGCATAATCAACTGTAATGCTGAGATTTAGTAGATGCAAATTCTCTGTCATGGCTGGAAGACACTATCTAGCAGCAGGAGTCCTGGTCCTCTGACACTTAAAATCTTCTGCCCCTTCTGCAATGTCCCCTGAACCTTAGGTTTAGGGGTTGCATTGTAGATGTATCACTTGGGACTAGGTACCCCACAGCCACCGCATTTTGATTTCTGTAGTAGCCTTTGTCTGCTGCAAAAATAAGTTTTTTCAATAAGGGGTGAGAGCTATAATTATCTGTGAGTATAAGGATAAATATTGATAATACAGTTAGATATTGTATTGATTTAGGAAAATTGCAGTAGTAAGTTCTCCTCTAGGGTCTATGACCACTTCAGCAGTGGATATTTGGTTAAATTTGCAGTAGTAGGCATGGATTCTCTCCTATTGGCCAGGCACTAAATCCAACTTGAGAGTTGTTAGTTACCAAAAAGAAAAAAGCAACATTGCTGTACCATTGGGGATATCTTGCTGAGTTAGTCATTGTTGTGGTTCGTAGGATTTACAGGTGAGTATTAGGATTGATTTGCTTTTCTCCGTTGGCAATCCGACTGGCATAAGATGAACTCTTAAAGTAGTTTTAATTTGCATTTCTCTAATTGCTAAGGATGTTGAACATTTTAATAACTATTATTTTTGTTTTTGTGTATGAGTGTATTGCCTGCCCGTATGTAAGTGCACTCATGTCATGCAGTGCCCGTGTAGATCAGAAGAAGGTGTTGGATCCTCTGGAACTGTAGTTACAGATGGTTGTTAACCACCAGATGGGTGGTGGGATTTGAGCCCAGGTCTTCTGAAAGAGCAACCAGTGCTCTTAACTGGCTGAGCCATCTTTCCAGCCCCAGAATGTTGAACATTTTAAAAGATATTTCTTAGCTGTTTTTATTTCTTCTTTTGAGGACTCTGTTATGATCTGTAGCCTATTTTTTAAAATTTTTTATTATTTTTATTTTATGTGTATGCGTGTTTTCCCTGAATGTATGTAAGTGCTCCATGTGTACGCAGAAGCCAGAAGAAGGTGGCAGATCCCCTGGAACTAGAGTTATGGACTGTTGTTATCTGCCATGTGGGTGCTACGAATCCAGCTTGGGTCTTCTGGAAGAACAAGTGTTCTTAACCACTGAGCCATCTTTCCAGACCCTGTAGCCTGTCTTTTAATTGGGTCATTTATTTTCTTGATTCTTTGTTGTTTGAGTTCTTTGTATATTCTGGATATTAATCCTCTATTGGATGCATAGCCGGAAAAGATTCTCTCCCAATCTGCAAGCTTCCTCTTCACTCATTTGGTTGTTTACATTGCTGTACAGATCCTTTTTTTTTCAGTTAAATGTGGTCCCATTTCTCAACTGTTGGTCTTAATTCCTGAGTAAATAGATTCCTATTCAGAAAGTTCTACTATGTTTTCTCCTGACAGTTTCAGCAGTTCACGTTGAGGTCCTTGATTCATTTAAGTTGGTATATACCTATTTTAATGTTTCTCTTTTCATCTCTAAATTCACTAATGAATACAGGAATAAGTGTATTTAGATCATGCCTCTATCTTTATTTTGATCAGTTTTCCTAATGCTTTGTCAATCTTGTTTATCCTTTCAAAGAACCAACTGTTGGTTTCATTGAATCTTTGCATGTTTTTTTAAAATGTTTCTATTTTATTAATTTCTACCCTGATCTTAGTTATTTGTCCCCATTTACTGATTTGGGTTTGATTTCTTATTTTTAAACATCTTAAGGTGCATTTTTAGGTTATTTGAGCTATCTCTGATTTTCTTTTTTTTTAAAAAAATTTTATTATTTTTTATTTTATGTGTATGTGTGTATTGCCTGCATGTAGGTAAGTGCACTCGTGTCTTGCAATGCCTGCAGAGGTCAGAAGAGGCTCTTGGATCCCCTGGGAGTGGAGTTACATACAGTTGTTAGCTGCCATGTGGGTGCTGGGATTCAAACCCGGGTCTTCTGCAAGAACAACCAGTGTTCTTAACTGCTGAGCCAGCTCTCCAGCCCCCTTCTTTTCTTTTTTTAAAAAATATTTTATTTGGGGCTGGAAAGATGCCTCCACAGTTAAGAGCACTGGCTGTTCTTGCAGAAGACCCAGGTTCAATACCCAGAACCCACATGATGGCTAACAACCATCCAAAACTCCAGTTCTAGAGGATCTGTTGCCCTCTTCTGTCCTCAGCAGGCACTGCATGACATGGATGCACTTACATAAATGCAGGCATAATACTCGTACACATAAAATAAAAATAGAGAAATAAATTAAAAATATTTTATTTATTTTTTTATTTTATGTGTATGAGTGTATTGCCTGCATGTGTGCAAGTGCACCCATGTCTTGCGAGCCCTTGGAGATCAGAAGAAGGCATCGAATTCCCCTGGAATTTGAGTTACAGATGGTTGTTAGCTGCTGTGTGGGTGCTGGGAATTGAACCTGGGTCCTCTGCAATAACAGCCAGTGCTCTTAACTACTGAGCCATCTCTCCAGCCCCAATAAAATAAATCTTAAAAAAAAATTAAAAGCAGCTGGGTCTGGTGGCACATGCCTGTAATCCCAGCACTTGGGGGGTGGGACAGATGGATCACTGTGAGATTGAGACCAGCTTGTCTACATGGTGAGTTCCAGGCCAGCTGAGGCTGCAGGGAGATCCTGTCTCTAAAAAATAAAAGTGATGGATGGATGGATGGATGGATGGATGGAAGGAAGGAAAGGAAGGAAGGAAGGAAGGAAGGAAGGAAGGAGAGGGAGGGAGAAAAAATTAAAAGCAAAGGTAATGAGAAATCCAGATGTGTTGGATCAGCGCTCTAATTTTCATGTGATTTCCACTTCTTTTTTTAAGGGAAAAAGAAAAAAAATGCAGTATGGTAGATCAGTGATGCTTATATCCTAATCCTTGGACTTGAGATAGAAGTCCTGACTGAGCAGAGTTGGGATGTTCACAAACTACTGTGTGATTGGCAACCTAATTTGACTAGTGTTTGCATTGTTGTTGTTTTTTCAGAAAAAAATTATTGAATTTCTGTGTGTCTCATACACCAAATCTTAATCATCTTTATACCCCCATTCCCTTCAGCACCCTCATATAGCCTGCCCCCCGATTGGATTTCATGCATTATGTCATTTATGTTAAGGCCTATCATGTCAAGTTAGTATCCCCTGATATCCCTCAGTGCACATTCATCCACTGGGGTCTAGTTAGTCTATCTAGAGTCACTCCCTTAAAGAAGATCAGCTCTTCCTTACCCAGTCATAACACCTGTCAATAGTTCTTTGGCTAGGATTGAGTTCTGCTGTTCATTTCCACAGTTCTATGCTGGGTTTTTGTCTGCTTATGTTGCATGGATCTTGTGCATGCTGACACCATTGTTGAAAGTTCATATGTACAAGGTCCCATGAGTCAGTAAGGCTCTGTATCCATGTCGTCAATGCACTTCCTCCCATAGCTCTTACTCTCTGATTTTTTTTTAATGTGCACACTTAGAACTATAAACTCCCTTATGATTGCCTTCATTATATCCCACAGATTTTGGTAAATTGTATCTCCATTTTCTTTCAATTCTAAGGATTATTTTTTATTTCTTTCTTGATTTCCTCCATGTTCCATTCATCATTCAATAGTGTCTTGTTTAATCTCCATAGTGGCATATTTTCTGTAATTCTCTTACCATTCATTTATAGTCTTATTCAACTGGAATCATATGGAAGACAAGAAACTATTTCAATTTTCCTCTATTTGTTGAGACTTGTTTTATGTCTTAATATGTGGTTTATTTTATGTATATGAATGTATTGCTTGCATGTATGTTCAGTGCACCCATGCATGCAGTGCCTGTGGAGACCAGAAGAGTACATCAGAGTCCCTGGATCTGGAGTTATAGATGGTTGTTAGCTGCCATGTGGGTACTGGGAACTGAATCCAGGTCCTCTGGAAGAGCAGCCAGTGTTCTTAACTGCTGAGCCATTTCTCCAGCCCTTGTGATTTATTTTAGAGAAAGTTCCATGAGCTGATGAAAAGAGTGTGTGTCCTGTAGTGTTGGGGTGGATTGTTCTGTACATGACTGTTAGGTTTATTTACTTTATAGTGTTGTTAATTACAGTGTTTGTTTTTGTCTGGTTCATCCATCTAATGGTGAGAATGGATACTTGTCCATCAGTTAATTAATGCATAATGAAAATGTGGTATACATACACAATGGGATTTTTTTCAGAAATAATGAAAAATGAAATTATGAAAATTTCAGGAAAATGGATGGATCTGAAAAATATTGTGAATGAGGTAACTCAGGCTCAGAGACAAACACCGCATGTTCTCCCTTATATACTGATCCTAGCTACAAAATTGTAGAGTAATGTGCTTAACTTTTGAGTATAGGCAAAGGCCAGAAAGATAGAAATGGCCATTATAGGGGTGAGAATGGAAGCCTTCAGGGAGTGGGGATAATAGAACATTTCAGACATGAAGGTGGAGGATGAATACTGGAAGTGGAAAGGTCTAATCAGGAAAGGAGGTGGGAAACTAGGAAAGATAGGGAGGTGGGAGAAAATAAGCTAAGCTATGAAGATATGAAAAAGCTTGTGGAAAACTATTATTTTGTAAATTAATTAAAAATACAAGTAAAAAGTGGATCCTTTTTTGGTTCATGAGCATGATGATTTGGTGTTCACGCCTTTGCATGGGCATATGCCTCCCTAAAACCTTGTTTCAAGAACCCTGGCACATTATTTGTCTGGTGTGAAAAAACGTTTGAACAGAAATATCCAGAAGCCATAAGTTATTAAATGTAAATCTTTCCCTATGGATTGTTGGTAAAGGAGGCCCCAGAAATCCCAAGGAAATACAAGCAATTACCATAGCTCCTTGTTGCCCACTAGAATTGGATGGTAAGACTTATTTCTGTAAACAGCACTCACTTGAATCACAGGTCAAACAGGAATCATTCTGAAACAGAGCTGGAAGCTCCATTCCGTACTTGCTAGCCTTCATAGTGTCAGAAGTTGCTATGCAGGCTGGTGGGGGAGAAAAATCATCAACAGTCTTACCCAGCTGTGAACCCTGCCAACTTCAATAATGACCTGCCAGGCAAGATGTGTTCTCTAGTGCAATAGTCACATGATTGTTTTGGGCATAACTAATCACTTTCTGATTAGACTTGAGGCCTGCTCCACAGAAATGTACTCATACCTGTTTTTGTAAACCAAGTCAAGAACCCATGGTTAGGGAGGACCCGGGCCATAATGCAGAACCTACTACTCTTGGTTTGTTAAATGGTCATGTTGGCAGATTAGTGACAAATAAGTGAAAGAAACTGTCAAATAAAATGGGTTCATGTGTCTGTATTTACAGATTACTACTCTGTCCACCCTTTATCAGAGAAGCTCCTTGCTAAAACAGGAAACAGTTAATGCAGCAACCTATAGCTGGCCAGTGTGCTAAGAATGAGTGATGGTGGAGTATTTGGCCTTAAATGGGACAGCTAGATCAACCCTTCAAAGTCTGAGGGATCATATGGAAGAAGGGTAGAAATAATGTAAAAGCCAGAGGATAGAGATATGTCATATCTTCTGGATAGGACATAGTCATTGCACTCATGAACTTACTGTAGCTGTGGTTAGATACAGAAGACCTGGCGTAGTATTGAGCCCATCAGAATCTCATCAAGAATGAGAGGCCCATGATGTCTCATCACTCTCTGAGGGACTATTTACAGTAATGATTTGGGGGGGGGGTCATTTTCTTCAGTGTGTAGTCACTGATTAGTTATTTCTCTCACCTACACTCAGCTAAGAAACTAAATTGGTTATGCACAAAAGGAGGGTAATTTGTAGGGAAGAAGTGTTTTCAGTGGAAAATGAAAGGGGGCAAAAGGGGAAAGGGTTTGTGTGCAAGTGAAAATAACTAAAATTTATTGCATATATGAATGAACTGCCAAACAAATAAAATGGGTTTGTGTATCTATACTGAAGGTAGGATTCATGAATGAGATAAAACATGCAATATTTGTGTTTCTGTGTCTGACTTATTTGGTAAACCTAGTAATTTTCAGGTACACCTATCTTCCTGAAAATACCGTGCTTTCTTTTTTCTTTGTAGCTAATTTCATTGTGTATGTGTAGCATTCTTTATTCATTAATCTGTTGATGGATATGCAGGCTGGTTCCATTTGCTACCTATTTTGAATAGTGCATCAATAAATATGGATGTGTAACTATCTCTGTGGTTGGATGTAATGCCCTTTGAATATATCTAGGATTGGGATAGCTGTGTCATATGACAATTCTTTCTTCTTTAAATTCATTCATTCATTTACCTATTAAGAATTCACAGAGTAATGGGGGTTTCATTATGACATTTTCATATGTTCTTTATTTTGATTTTTTCCCCACTCACTTTCCCACCCCCACTGGTTCCCTTCCTCCTCTGAATAGCACTCATTCTGATTTCCTATAACATGTGTTCTGTTACCTTTTTACCCCTTACCCTTTCCTTGAGAACTCATTAACTCCCTCTCATGGTAACCTATTTTGTTTCCTGATCTATACCAACCAAGTCTGGACTACTTAATAATTTTCAAGTCCCAACCATTGTCCTGCAAATGTCATTATTTTATTTTTCTTTATAGCTGAATAAAAATCCATTGTGCATATGTATTTCATTTTATTCATCTATTGATGAACATTTACCCTGGTTTCATTTTCTAGTTTTTGTAAATAGTGTAGCAATAAACAATGATGTGTGAATATCTGTGTGATAAGAGTAGAGTCCTTCAAATATTTGCCCAGGAGTGATATAGCTGGGTTATATATTAGACTTTTTTTTTTATTTTTAACGAATGCCTGTACCAGTTTACATCACAACCAACAGTGAATAAAAGTTCTTTCCTCACATCCTCACCACCATTTGCTCTCTCTTGATTTCTTGATGGTTGGCATTCTGACTGGGGTGAGATGGAACCTCAAAGTGAATTTAATTTGCATTTCCCTGGTAGATAAGGATGATAGACACTTTTAGAAGTATTTTTTGGGTATTTTTGTTGCTCCTCTTGAAAAATGTTAATCTCAGTCCATTTGTTGAATGAAAGATGTGAGTCTGTTTTTTGAAAGATGCGAGTCCGCTGTGTGTGTGTGTGTGTGTGTGTGTGTGTGTGTGTGTGTAGGAATTTATATATTCTAGATAGTAACACTTATGAAATACATCTGGTAAAAACTGTATCCCATTCTTTAGGCCACCTTCTAACTGTTGGTAGTTTCCTTTGCTGTGTAGCACATTTTAAATTCCACATAATACCCTTTATTTCTTCCTGGGGCTATTTGCTACACTATTGGGACACTTTTCACAAACTCCTTGTGTATGCCTATATCTTGAAGAGTTTTCCCTGTGTTTTCCTCTAATGGTTTAAAAATTTCAGGTCTTAATGTTAAAGGCTTTCACCATTTTGATTGATTTTTCGATTTTTAGTGTATTTTTAATTTTTTGTTTAATTTTTGAGATTTTCATCAAATATAATTTGATATTTAGAGCCCCTCCCTTATCTATACTTCCCCAAAATAGATTTTGATTGAGTTTAGATCCTCTCCCCATTTAATACCCTTCTTACTACCCTCACCTCATATATATATATATATATATATAAAGGCCTATAGGGTCTAATTTGTGTCCCCAAATGTCTTGCCATGTAGTTCCATGCACTGGAGCCTGGTTAATCCACCAAAAGTCCCAAACTTAAAAGAGACTGCCTTTCTCCCTCCCAGCAGCCAACACTTGCCAAAAAAGTTCCATATGATGGATGGGTTGGGTTTTATTACCTACTTCTCCATGTCTTTGCTGGGATTTTGTCTGGTTTGAGCTTGCATAGGACTTGTACATACTGTCACTATTGCTGTGAGTTCATATGAGTAACTAACCAGCTGTCTGGAAAACTCTGTTTCCTTTTGGTTATCCACAACCTCTGGCTTTTATGTTCTTTTGACCCTCTCTTGCCTAATGATCCCTGAACCTTGGGAGGCATAAATTTAATATAGATATCCTATTTACGGATAAGCACTCTGCAGCCTCTTGTTCTTTGCACATTGGCCTGCTGTGTTTATGTGTTAATCACCATCTGCTGCATAAGGAAAGTTCTCTGGTGAGAGTTGAAAGCTGCATTAATCTATGGGTATGACAATAAGTCATTGGTTGTGATTTTTAAGTAATTTTTATTTTATATGTATGAGTGTATTGCCTCCATGTATAAGTGCACCCATGTTGTATAATGTATGTAAAGATCAAAAGAGGGTGGGGCTGGAGAGATGACTCAGTGGTGAAGAACACTGGTTGTTCTCGCAGAAGACCCAGGTTCAAATCCTAGCATCCACATGGCAGCTAACGACTGCTCATAACTCCAGTTCCAGGGGATTCAATGGCCTCTTCTGTCCTCTGCGGGCATTGCACGGCAGGGGTGCACTTACCTACATGCAGGCAATACACTCATACACATAAAATAAAAATAATAAATAAAATATTTTTTAAAAGATCAATAGAGTGTATGTGGTCCCCTAGAACAGGCAATAAGGACGGTTGTTAGCTGCCACATTGGTGCTGGGAACCAAACCTGGGCTCTCTGCAAGAACAGTCAGTGCTCTTAACCACTGAACCATGTCTCCAACCCCTAGACGTCATTTTGATCCTGTAACTATTCAGTGACAACTAGTATTAGACTCTCCCCTATGCTCTGTGACCTATCTAGTCTCACATTCCTAAGCCCAATATCAATGTCAGATATGGGCTCTATCTTATAAAGTGGACTTTAAATTCAATTAGAGAGTGGTTGGTTACTCCCATAGTATTCATGCCACTGTTGCACTGGTGGGCATATCTTGCCAGGCCAGTTATTATTGTAGCTCACAGGATTCACAGCTGGGTAGGACTGATGATTATTTTCTTCCTTCTTGTAGCATGCATAGCACCTTCCAACACTATGAAAGCTATCCAGTAGAGATGTGACTCTGAAGTCAGCATGAGCTTAATGTCTTCTTGTTTGTTCTATAGCTAATGTATATAGTGTGTTCAGTACCATGCTATTTTGATGATTTCATTTTTGGCTTTGTTGTATAACTTGAAAACAGTTATTGTAATATCTCCAATATTTTTCTTTTACCCAGGATTGCTTTGGTTTTCTGGAGTCTTTTGTGCTTCTGTATATTTTATACTTGTTCTGTTTCTCCAAAGAATGCCATTGGAATTTTGGTAAGAATTGTGTCGAATCTGTAGATAACTTTTAGTAATTGTATTAGTTATTTTTCTCAATGTTGTGAACAAATATCTTCTAAGAAGGAATGTAAGAGTTGAAGGGTTTTTTGGCTTATAGTCTAAGAAGGGATGCAGTTCAAAATGGACAGAAGGGCATTATGGAAGGGGTGTGTAGCAGCTGATCAGATTTATCCATAGTCAGGAAGCAGAGAAAGATGAGTTCTGGTGCTCAGATCACTCTCTCCTTTCTGTTCAGGCCAGGACCTTACCCATGAGATACTACTGACTGCCCACATTCAAGGTGAGTCTTCTCTTTTCAGTTAAACCTTTTTGGAAACACCCTCATAGACACACACCAGAGGTGTGTTTCTCTGATGGTTCGGTCCTGTCAAGTTGCCAATACACTTAACCATTACAGTAAGATAGCCATTTTCAGTGTATTAATTACCAATGCATGAGCATGGGATCTTTCCATGTTCTCGTGTCTTGTTCACTTTCCTTCTAGAGTACTTAATTAAAAAATATTTTAATTTATTTTTATTTTATGTGTACCAGTGTATTGTCTGCATGTAGGTAAGTGCACTCGTATCGTGCAGTGCTTGTGGAGGTCAGAGGGTCTCAGATCCCCTGGAACTGGAGTTATGGATGGTTGTTAGCTACCATGTGCATACTGGGAATCAAACCTGGGTCTTCTGCAAGAGCAGTCAGTGCTCTTAAACATTGAGCCAGCTCTCTAGCATCAATAGAGTGCTTAATTTTTTTAATTGTAGAAGTCTTTCACTTTCTTGGTTAGGCTTATTCTGATGTATTTTGTTTAATTATTGTATATGGAATGGATTTCTTGATTACGTTCTCAACATGAGGACCTGAGCTCACTGGCTATTTCCAATTTATTCAAAACAGCAAGATCCAGGCTCAGTGAGAGACACTGTTTCAAAAACTAAGGTGGAAAGCCAGGCATGGTAGTGTACATCTTTAGTCTCAGCACTCTGGAGGCAGAGGCAGGTGGATCCCCATGAGATTGGGACCAGCCTGGTCTACATAGTGAGTTGCATGCCAGCTGAGGCTATAGGGAAACCCTGTTTCAAAAAATTAATAGGGATGAGGAGGGGGAGGGGAATGGGGCAGAGGAGGAGGGGGAGAAGGGGGGAGGGCAAGAGAAGAAAGCATCACACATCCATCTCTGGCCTCTACAGGAGAGTGCATATACATACACCATATACACATACACACACCACAAAAAAGACATACTGTCTCTATCCATATATTAGTGCAAAAGTTTAGGGCTTTTTACCATTTAGTATAATATTAACTACAGTTTGTCATGGGTGCCTTTTATTATGTTGAAGTATTTTCCTTCTATTTATTGTTTCATCAGGGCTTTAATCATAAAGGGATGCGGAATTTGCCAAAGGTGCTTTTCTTCATCTTTGGAGACTGTCATGTGAAAATCTGTTCTTGAGTTTGTTAATGTTTTCTAATACATGTATTTATTTGCATATGTTGTATAATCTTTCAGTCCCTGGAACGAATTCCATTTTTTTGTGGTGAATTATATTTTTCAAAAAATAATATTTTAAATTTAATCTTTGAAAATGTCAAACATATATGCAATTATTTTGATCATATCTACCCCTACTCTCTCTAGGTCTCCCTAGTCCCCCCTACAATATCTCCCTTCAAATTTTATGTCCTCTTTTTTAAACATAGTAACTCACTGAGTCCGATAAGTCTTGTTCCTATGTGCATGGGTGTGGGGCAATGCACTGGGGCATAGGAAACCTACCAGCAGTCACACTCCCCCCCCCAAAATGTGACTCTCACTCCATCAGGATCCATAAGATTCCAATAGCTCCTCAGCTAGCAGTAAGTTACTATGTTTCTTGGTCAGTTCATGATTGCTTTAAGTCAGTCAGTGCTACAAATGCATTCAGTGGCTCATTATGTCTAATTCCTATCACATTCATGATCAATGGAATTAAAAAGGAAGCCCAATTATAGCACATGAGACTGGGTCGGGGGAGTAATGGGGAGCAGATAGGGAAGGGATATAAATACGATAAAAAATATATTGTATGAAATTCACAAAATGCAATTAAAATATATATAAAAAGTGAGTGTCAAACATTCATAGTCATTGCCTCAAAGGATTAACTCATGTTGGAATCTTTGGAAATCTAAAACTGGTTCTTGGTACTTTGATAAAGAAAATTGAATTCACGTATCCACCAAAGGGTGGGGGAGAATGATGATGGAGGTGCATTTAGAAAATAATTAGCTTTATATCTATTTTCATGATTCATGAGTCCTTTTGCCTATACTCCTTCCTTTTTCATCACCTGCTATTACCCTCCCTTGGTCTCCTTTCTAAATTTTGGACTTTTTCTGCACTTATATCTCTTTGGGAGGTGTTCTGTAACCTCAAATTTTTCTCTTTTATTCTTCCTAAAGCTGTATAATATCATTCTATTTTAGTGTTGGTTAATATGCAGATTATATTCCTAAACCTAAAGTATGTTTTTTTAAAATATTTTATTTGTTATTTTTATTTTATGTGTATGAGTGCTATGCGTGCATGTAGGTAAGTGCACCTATGGTGTGCAATGCCCACGGAAGACAGAAGAGGCTGTCAGATCCCCTGGAACTGGAGTTATGGACAGTTGTTAGCTGCCATGTGGGTGCTGGGATTCAAACCTGGGTCTTCTGCAAGAATAGTCAGTGTCCTTAACTACTGATCTGTCTCTTCAGCCCCAAGTATATTTTTTTAACAAAATAAAAAATGTAAGTAATAAAATTTTAAAGATGTATTTCTGTATCAACCCTGGGTTCTGCAAGAATAGTCAGTGTCCTTAACTACTGATCTGTCTCTTCAGCCCCAAGTATATTTTTTTAACAAAATAAAAAATGTAAGTAATAAAATTTTAAAGATGTATTTCTGTATGCCTCTGGGGCCTCCTTGATATAAGGAAGTATCTTGCACCTGGCACTGAGATTTTCATTTAATTAACCTGTGTCTTCTAGTAGCAGTATTGTCCACCCATGCATGGTGCACAATCTCTTCTTAAAAATTCTTAAACATTCTTAAAAATTCACAATCTCGTGCTTAAAATTGTGTATATTTTTAATTTTCTTTCAAAATAGTAGGTTTCCATAACGCTTCTTAATACATCCTTAGTTTTGGTTAACCCAATCCCCTATCACTCCTCTTTCCCACCTCCTGCCCTCATTCACAACTAACCATTTAACTACCAATATCTGACCCCCATTCTTCTACGACATATGTGTTTTACTATCCCCTCTAATTATATTTTTAATTGGGTTGCAAGATTGTAGGTTTTCACATGACTATTTCATGCACCCTTCAATTTGGTTAAGTCTTTCCTCTACCCTTCCTTTCCTATCCTCCACACCATTACAGTGCTTGAATATGTCTACCTAAGTATTCACCTCTCTTCTATAATTTTACCTATATTTACTATTTTCCCTCCCTTAATACATCTGCTCACAAGGGCCAGTTTCTAGTTTCTTGGCTTTGACATGTACTCCAAGTTAAACACACAAACAATTTGAAGCTAGGATCCACATGAGATAGACATGTGTTTATATTTTGGGGTCTGGATGACCTCATTGAGTATAATTTTTCCATTCATTTACCAACAAATTTCATGATTTCATTTATAGTTGAATTCAGTTTGCAAATATTTTGTTGACATTTTGCATCCATATTCATCAGGAAGATTGGCCTGTAATTTTCTTTTTAGTGTGTCCTAATATGATACAGGGATCAATATAATAATATTAGCTTTGCAAAATGAGTTTGGTACTGTTTTTTGCCCCTTTCTATTTTATGGAATAGTTTCAGAAGTATTGGCATTCTTTAAATTCCAGTAAAATTTAGCAATGAGTCCACCTGGGTCTGGCCTTTTTTTACTTGGGAGATGTTTTATTACTGCTTCATTCGCATTGCATTTTATATCTGTCTTATAAGCTGTTTTAATTTTGTAAGGGCTTATGAGTCGATATTTGTCCATTTTTTTCTAGATTTCCTATTTAATTGTAATATACATTCTCAAAGGCCCTAATGAGCCTCTGAATTTCATTGGTGTCTGTTATCACCTCTCATTTTCATCTCTAATTCAATAATTTGTGTTTTCCTTCTTTTTCTTTTGCTTACTTTGGCTGAGAGTTTGTAAATCTTATCTCTCCAAAGAATCAACTCTTTGTTTCATTGATTCTATATATTTGTTGTTTCCATTCCATTAAGTTTCTTCCCTGATCTTATTTCTTTCATCCACTGATTCCGACTTTAGCTTGTTTCTGTTTCTTCAAGGCCCTAAGGTGTATCATTAAATCACTTATTTGAGAGCTTTCTAACTGTGTTAATGTTGGCGTTTATAACTATGAAATTCCCTCTTAGAATTGCCTCCATTGTACTCCACACACTCTGGCGCATTGTATTTTCATTCTTATTTGATTCTAGCAATATTTTAACTGCTCTCCTGATTCTTTTTTTTAAATATATTTTATTTTATGTGTATGAGTGTATTGCTTGCATGTATGTGGGTGCACCTGTGTCATGCAATGCCGCGGAGATCAGAAGAGGGCATTGGATTTCCCTGGAGCTGGAGTTAAGGATGGTTTGTAGCCGCCATGTGGGTTCTGGGAATCGAACCCGGGTCCTCTGCAAGAGCAATCTGCTCTTAACCACTGAGACATCTCTCCAGCCCGTCTCCTGATTCTTTTAATGACCCATTAATCATTCATTTGTATGTTTAATCTCCAAGAGTGTGTGTATTTTCTGTAGTTTTTATTGCTTCTATTTTTTTGGAGATAGAATGCAAGAAATAATTATTATTTTCTTGTTTTTCTTAAGATTCATTTCATGTCCCAAAATAGTTTCTATTTTAGAGAAAATTCTCTAGGCTGCTGAGAAGAATGGGTATTCTATAGTATTTGGATAGTATAGTCTACATATATGTGTGTTAAATCTATTTGAGCTATACTTTCATGTAGCTCCATTTTCTGCTGATTTATTTGTGTGTGTGTGTGTGTGTGTGTATAGATGACCAATCTGTTAGATTTGAATATCACCCACTGTTACTGTATTTAGACCAATCTGTGCCTTTACAACAGGTAATGCTTGCTTTGTAGGTTTGGATATACCTGGGCTGGAGAGATGACTTAGTGGTTATGAGAACTGGCTGCTCTTGCAGAAGACCCAGGCTTGATTCCCAGCACCCACATAGCAGCTAACAACCGATGTAACTCCAGTTCCAGGGGATATGCCACCATCTTCTGATC